GCGGACCCAGGCCCCCCACCCTGGCCCTCCCACCTGCGCCCCTCAGCAGGCCCGCGGCCCCCCGCACGTACTTCTGCTGGTAGTCCTTGATGAGGCGCTTGGCCTTACTGTACTTCCGCTCCAGCGCCTGGTACTGGGCCTGTGTCTCCCGCAGGTGCTCGTCCACCGCCTGGCACAGGCTCTGGGCCTCGCCCCAGTAGCCCTCCAGCTTCTCCATGCGCTCCTTGTTCTCCTCCACGCTGTGCTCCAGCTGCGCCTTCTCCACCCGCCAGCGCCCCTTCTCCTGCTCCAGGCTCTGAAGCTGAGAGGACGGGGTGGCCCTGGGTTGGGGGGATTCCCACATGCCCCCTACCCCCCCCAAGCCCAGGGGCTCGCAACCAGGGTTCCATTGCTGCATCCTCTCCACACCCCGGAAGGACCAGCTTAGGCACCGGGACAGGGAAACCATCTATACAAAATATGACGCCTGCCTCCCAAGCGCACAGGGCCTAAGACGGCAGACATGGACCAGCAGGGAAGGTCGGGGTCAGCACTGCTGCCCTCTTAGCCTTGGCCTGCTGCCCCTGGGGCTTCCTGAACAATCTGCCCTCCCCACTTCCCAGGTGACCTCATCCCCAACCACTGTCTGGACCCTGGTTATCTCCACACTCTCTGCCCGTGGCAGGGCTGCACGCCCCCATGCCTTGAGCCCCAAGGCCCAAGGTCCAGCCCAGCTCACTCCCAGCTCCTCATGGGCACCAGGCCTATAACCTGCATTTCCTCCCTGTTCCCAAGCACAAAGCTCCCTTCTCAGCTTGTTCACCTGTTAGAAGGTGCCATCTGGTTGCTATGAATGCCCCTTGTTCTTTGCCCTGGCCACACAGGCCTTCCTGCAGGTACCCAGACCGATCACAGGACCCTTGCACTTGCTGCCCCTGTGTGGCAAATGCCCCTTCTAGCCTCCCTCTGGCTGTCTTCTCAGTGTCATTTCTCCAGGGACCCCACCCCATGACTCCAGCAGCACAGCACCCACCCCCCAAGCTGGGTTGGGTTCTTCTGCTATAGGGGCTGTTTAACCCCATCTCACCTAGAGTCCCATGCTTGTCACGATAGTTACTGGTACGCACTCTAAGCTCAACAAGGACAAGGACCAACGGCCTTTGCCATCCCTGTGCCTGTGACACTCTTCCAAATATGAAAGTTTGAGTGATGGCCACCCCATGTCTCAGGGCACTAGAGACAGTGGGTCTGCATACCCCAGCTGTCGCCCTGGGTGGACTGTCACGGGGCACACAGGGGCAGTGTCCCTGTGGGTGTGGGGGCCTAAGCAAGTGGGTCTGGAGTGCTCTGTGCCCAGGCCCAGGCTGGCTCGTGTCAGTGTGTGCACTTTGGGGTAGTTCACATCATCGTGGGGGTCCACAAAGATGAGCAGGGGCAGTTACAAACACAAAGGCTAGGGCGTGGCCGGGCATGCTCCCGTGTAACGCTGATGCTCTTCTTTTATTTCCAGTACTGGGATTGAGCCCTGGGCCTTACATGTGCTAGGCAGGCATTCTACCACTTAGCGACATCCCCAGCCCTTTTTATTTTGAGACACGGTCTTGCTAAATTGCCCAGGCGGGCCTCGAACTCGTGATCCTCCTACCCTCTGCTTCTAAACAGCTGAGATTATAGTGTGTACACAGGGTCCAGCTAACACTCCATTTTTTGTTTGTTTGTTTTTACAGTACTGGGGATTGAACCCAGGGCTCGCACCCGAGTCCATCTTTTTATTTTTATTTCGAGCCAAGGTCTTCCTAGGTCTCATGTGCAATCCTCCTGTGTGGGAATCACAGGCGTGCTCCACCACGCCCAGCCATGCTCTGCCTTCAGAATGAGCACCTGCTGTGTCAGGTGCTGTGCTGAGGAGTTTCTAGGCCTTCTCTCCCTGGAGTCCTCAAGAGGCCGGAAGTATTTTCACCCTCTCCTGTGGAAGAGGGCACTGAGGCCGGAAGGCAGCAGAGGGTTCCAGAGCCGAGCACTGACTGCTGTGGTCCCTCCCTCCCTCCCTCCCAGCAGCCTGCTCAGCGGGGGGCCTGCACCTCCCTCTGGCCCTTGGCCCCCAGCCTCCACATGCACACGCATGTGCAAACACACACAGACACACACACACAGCGCACACACGCCTGCTCCCTCACCTTCCTTTTCAGCTGCTGGATCTCCGCCTCCGTGACTGCGTGCTTGATCTGGAGCTGTAGGCAGAGGCGGCACTCAGCTCCCGCCGGGCAGCCCAGCTTCTCAGGCTCCATGTCCACCGGGGACAGCGCGTCCTCGTTCTCTGCCAGCTCGAACACCTCGATGGCCATCTCCCCGCCCGGGAAGGTGGGGCTCAGCTCCTCATCCTCGTCGGTGGCATACTCCCCCGTCTGCGAAGGGCGACGGGCAGAGCTGAGGCCAGCAGCTGTCTGCCTAGCAGCCCGGGAGTCCCCTGAAGGCAGGGGCAGCTCGGCTACAAGACAGGGACCCGGACACCAGGAAGTCTCTCCAGTGTGGTTCCTCCGGCAGAGGCGGTACTGCCTCGTCTAACCACCAGAGGGCAACCGCACCCGAGTCCCTACCTCCTCGTCGTCTTCCGCGTACTGGGCGTATCTCTGCTCCATCATTTCCCGCTGCCATCGTTCCTGTTCTAGGGTCTGCTGGATGAGTTGGGCCACTTCACTCTGCTCGCCCGGCCGCTCTCGGCCAATCGTAAACCTGCAGGGGCATAAACCAGCGTCATGCCCTGCCTGTTCTTTGCTGAGAATGCCACGTTGTCCCTGCCACCGGTGCTCCCCTCTCCAGACCCAGGCCTCCCAGGGGAGGGGAGACGAGAAGACTGACCGGGAGGCAGCGGCGTTAATAATGAATGGGGTGCTGGGTGCTTACTGAGTTTCCTTCTCCGGGGAGGGTGCGAGGTCCCCCAGCCCCCGGGGCCAGTTTGGGGAGGTGGCTGTCAACCCAACTCTGGGCTGGGCTGCAGGGACCTGAGCTCAGGTGCAGCCTGCGCAGGGGGAATCTTCCTTCACCACAAGGGAGAAAAGGAGGCAGCAGGGGAAAGGCAAAGATGACCCCCGGCAGGGCTGGGAGGAGGCGTGTCTTGGGATCGGGCCAAGCCCCAGAGCTCAGGAAGGGGTGGGATGATGGTGACTGGAGATTAGGATGGGGAGGAAATAGTGGAACTTCCAGGCACCCACCGCTCCTCCTCTGGGTCACCCACATCCTGTCTCTGCCCGCCACCCTTTCCTGGGGCCAGTGCCCCTCTAGGAGTGGGGCAGGGAGTGAACCCTGAAGCTGATGCTGGTGGTGGGAGGGAAACAGGGCGGGCTCTGAAGGCAAAGCCCCAAGTTGCGAGCCCAGGGAGTCCTCTCTGGAGGGAAGGGCACATTCTGGGTGAGGAAGCCCAATTTGGTGAGCTTCACCCTGCACTTCCTGGTTCTGCAACAAGGGAGGCAGAGACAGGAGAACAGAGCCCGGGGGACCGCAGGGACACGCACGTGGCCTGCATGCCTGCACACTGGTGGCCAGCAGCAGCCAGGGAGCTGGGGATGGGGGGCAGGCCTGGACCTGGGACCAGAGCCCTCATCCCTGCACAGGTGGCCAGCAGCAGCCAGGGAGCTGGGGATGGGGGCAGGCCTGGACCTGGGACCAGAGCCCTCTGCCAGATGGGGGAGTGGCAGAGCCCACCGTGCTGCCCGCCGCCCTGGGCTCTCACCGCACTCGGCCCTTCGTGTTCCGGAGCACGGACGCTGCAAAGCTCTGGGTCACTCCTACCAGACTCGTCCCGTCCACCTCCACCAGGAGATCGTTCACCTGGATCCTAGGGGAGGGGACGCTGGTTAGGGGTCACATCCGGGGCTCAGTCCCCACAGGGACCTGGTCCTCTGTCTACCCGCCGAGGGGATCAGGAATCAGGCCCACGCTGTGGACAGGAAGAGGGCCAGGCCAGCCCAGCAGACACGGGTATCCTGGACTGGGAGAGGTGGCCGTGCCCTTCCTGAGACAGTCACACTCGAGTGCCCTCTATCGCACCGGTCAGTGTGATATCCTGAGCACTCATCCCCCCCGGGCACACATGTGCCAAGCTGTCCTCTGACATGGATGTTCCCGCCCACACTCAAGTCCCCAAATGCCTGACACCAGAGCAGTGCACACGTGGACCCTCACACGGACACAGGCACACCCCTGTGCCCGCCAGCGCTGGAGCCTGGCTGGAGCCCTGTCATCCACCCAGGGGGAAGAGGGAGGGGGTGGTCCAGTCCGGCCCAGAGGAGCTGAAGGTGAGGCCCTGGGGACACAGGCCCCACACGGCACGCCCCAAACCACCAGCGGGAAGGGCCCTGGAATGTGCTGCTGACAAGGGGCAGGGGCAAGCGAGAGCGGGGGCTGTCACCCTCTCTGTCCCCTGCTGTCCTTCATGCCAGCTGGGCCATAACAGCCAAAAGCCCCCGAGTGGGACCAAGGACCACAGCCCATCATCAGCCCTTCTCCCCTCCCCTCGGGCCCCTGCCCCGGGATGTCTTCCCCGCCCCTCCAGGCACAGCTGCTTAACACAGGCCCAGCACCACCAGCCTCAGGGCACCCCAGCCCCCAGCTTCCTGGCCCCTGGCTCCCCAGCCTCCCACACCCTCTACCTCCTGACTCCCACTCAGCCTTCAAGGCCGGCTCCCGGTCATTTCCTCTAGGGAGCTTCACTCACTGCCCGGGCCCAGGCCTCCTGTGGGTGCCTTTTGTTTCTCCTGGCCCCTGTGTCCTTGTCCTGTGTCTGTCTGGCTCACAGAGCTGCTGGCCTCCTGAGGGCAAGGCCTGGACTGCCTGCCTGGCACCTGGCCCCAGCCCATGAGTCAGGCGCTGTGTTCAGACCCACTTGGGACCCCACACCTTGTGCACCCCACCTCCACGGCCCTTCTCCGGAACACAAGGGGGGGCGCCCCCCTCCTCCCAGCCCAGGGACACCTGAGGGTCACAGGCGCACCACTCCCCCCAGCAACCTCTTTGCAGACGGGTGGGATGGGGTGGTACCTGCCATCCCGGTGGGCAGCGCCGCCCTCGGTCACGGTCTTCACAAAAATGCCCAGCTTCTCCAGGCCCATGTCGGCCCCAGCCCCCATGCCGATGATGCTGATGCCTAGGCCCTCAGAGTCTGCGGAGCAGAGGGGGAAGATGCCAGGGCTGACGGGAGGTCCCTCATCCTGAACCCCCACTGCAGGGCACAGTTCCCCTTCAGAAGGCTGTCCCCAAGCTCTGGGGATGCCCCCAACACAGAGGAAGGGCGTGGCTCTGTGCACCCCCTGCCCTCTGCATCATCCCAGGAGGTGCCCAGGGTGGCTGCATCTATACAGACGAGGGTGGCATGGGGACTGTGACAGGCCTTGGGCCAAGCCTTTTGGTCTCTGTCTCTATGCCCAGAGCTTCACTGCCAAGGAACTGGGGCCTGGCACCCTCTCAGGCCCACTCCCAGCTACACTGGCCCTGCCCATCTCTTGGCCTCTGACAGCCAAACTTCCCGGGCACACCCCCTCCCGGGGATGGCACTACCACCCGGCAGCTGCCAAGCCTGGGAAGCACCTGGGTTCCTCCCGCCTCTCACAGCCTCCACCCAGTCCTGTTGATTCCATCCCCCAGGTCCACCACCAGGCCCACCTCTGTGGCCTCTCTGTCCCCATGGCCCGCGGTGGCCTTTGTAGAGTACCTCTCCCTCCCAGGCCTTGTGATGGCCCTGGTCCATCGCAGAACAGCACACTGTGCCCTTCCTGTGGCTCCAGACCTGCTTGACACCCTTCGGGCCCCTGTCCTCCATCCTCCCCACTCTGCCACCTCGGTTCCTCCTCCACAGCCACTGCAAGAGCCCCTTCCTGGGGACCCCTGCCCGCGTCAGCTCAGCTCCTGCTGTGTCCCTCATGGCACATAAGAGCGGCTGCCCTTCCAGTCTGCCCCTAAGGGAGCCTGGCTGTGCCCGTTGCTGTTTCCACCGGAGCCAGGACCCGGCCCACGGTGCCCAGGAGAGGTGGGAACGGTTCCCTGGCAGGACAGGAGGTGACTTCATGCCGGCACTGGACGGGGGTGTGCCAGCTCCTGTGGGTGCCAATGGGGTGGGGGGACCCGCAAGTGCTCAGGACCTCACTGAGGGTCCAGGGCAGGGCCTGGGGTGCCCATGTTGCCTCTCACCCTTCTCCAGCTCCACAGGGAACAGCTCCAACCTCTCCACCCGCTTTTCCAGCTCGTACTCCGCAGACGCAGCCATGGGATCCACGTCCTCGTTGCGTCGGTCGTAGTCCTCGTTGGAGTAGGTGCTGAACACCTAGGAGGGCAGCTCATCAGAGGCTGGCGGGAAGAGGCCAAGGGGAGACTGGTGCCTGCCCCCGCCCAGACTGCTCTGCCTCGGTCCCCACAAAGGCCTGGGGACAACAGCAGAGAGCACCCAGCCTTCTGATCCACACTGGGGCTCAGGCTGGGCAGACCGGCAGGGCACTCCCAGAAGGACACGCAGGGCAAAGAGAAAGTGAGACGGGGCCCAAGAGCCAGGCAGGTAAGGGTGGACACGAAGACACAGACAGAGGATCCCCGAGCAGAGAGGAGGGGAGCGGGAGGGGACGGACGCAGACGCAGAGAGGCCCGGGGACCCCTCTCTGTCCACACCGAGTGGACACTGAGGCCAGGGGAGGGATGCGTGTCTACTCCCATGGAGGACAGGCCCTCTGTGCCCCGGGCCTATCAGGCTATGCCCTGTAGATGGACACTCATCTGTCTCCTCTGCCCCATACACTGGGAGGCCCAGGCAGGGCCACAGGACCCACACTCTAGGGAGGTGGCAGCCTCTCTGCCTGTCATGGTGTCCCCTGTCTGCTCTCTCTCTCTCTCCCTCCTCCTCGGCCCTGCTCCCACCCCTCTAAAGGACAGTGGCGGAGGGGCAGCCCCGATGCTGGGCCCAGGCTAACGAGCACCATTTGGGGCACCAGGACACGTCGGGCTTCGCCGCCTGCAGCGACAGGTTGGCAGCACTTGGAGCCAAGTGGGGGCGGGAGGGGGTGAACAGCTCTATCAGCTAGGTGCCCCAGAAACTGCGGGGCTGGACTGGGTCACTGTCTCCCCCGAGGCCCCTGCCAGAGCCCTCTGTGCTCCAGGAGCAGGGCTCCCACGCACTCTGCAACCCGGCCTTTGTCCTGTCACTCTCAGCCCCCCAACAGAGGGAGGCTCAATGCCATGGCGATGCGGGGCTGCTCCTAGGACTGGACTGGAAGCAGGGGCAGGACAGGCCTGTGTGGTCAGAGCTCAAAGCAGTCAGTGTTACAGCATCAGAGATGCCTGGGCTCGGGCCCTCAGAGTCCCACCGGCCTCCATGCAGTGGACTCTGGACGGTTCTCCTAACACCCGGCTGGCAGCCCAGCAGCCCCTTGGAGGAATGGGTTGTCCATCCCACATAAAATCCAAGACACCAGTGTTCTGCCCAAGGTCACAAGGTTTAGCCAGCAGCAGGACAGAACGGCAGTGTACCCAGCTGAACTCCGGTGGTGACTTTGTCCTCACTGCAAGGTGCCCCAGGGCCTTGGCATATGCTTGGACACAGCAAGTCAGCTTTGGCCCACTTCTGCATTGAAGGCAGACTTGACCTTTGCTCCAGGAAGTGGGTCCCTGTCCTTCTTCTGGTCAACCGCCTTCCTGCTCTTCCACACACACAAACACACCCCGTGACCTCCAGGACAGCCCGGCAGCCTGGCCTGGCCTTGTCCTGCCCTCTTTCCTGAGCCTATCATCTCCGGTCCCCTGTAGGGATCCCCAGCTGGGAGGAGTACCCAGACCACCCATCACCTCCATATCAGAGGGCCCTGGCCCAATCCTTCCCCCCACATGACAGCCTGAAACTGGGTTTCTCTGATCCCATAAGGGGAACAACTGGGTCTTCAAAGGGGCAGAGACCCTGGACTCAGTGTCAATGCCAGGCTGAGGGCAAGGAGAAGAAAATGGGGGGGGCTGCACCAGGGTGGGGAGAAGGAAATCCCCAGCAAGGCCGGAAGTCAGACACTCAGTCTGCACATGCGCCCTGGCTCTCAGATGGGCGGCCGGCTTCAGTCACCGGGGAGTCAGAAAGCACTGCCCCAAATCATGTGCTATTTTTTACTGAAAAGTCAGGGTAAGGTGTCCGACGTAGACAGCTGGAGGCCCAGGCAGGCCACACTCATCTCTGAGGCTGCTCAGAAGACTGGGGAGTCGGGGCAGGTGCCAACTTCCTCTCAGGACCACAGGGGACCGGGGATGCAAAGGGGCTCACAGATCCCAGCCAGGGAGGGCAGGGGCTGTCCTCAGAGGGGAGAAGCAACCACTCTGGTAACCTTTCATCAGGTCTCTTGCCCTGCGGGGAAGTGGGAGTGGAGGGGAGAGACCCAGGCAGCTCCAGTGTCCAGTAGTTATGGAAACGGCAAGCAAACACAGGGTTTGGCCTGGCAGGGCACAGAGCAAGGAAAGCCCCAGGCCCTGGGCCCTTCCACTCTGGGGTTCGCACAGCAGGGCCTGAGGTGGTGAGAAATAACCATCAAGGCTGAATGCGCCAGTTGAAAGTGGGGAGCAGAGGGAAGTGGAGGTGGCTGTGGATTCAATTCTCTCCGGGAGATGTCCCTTCCCCACTTCAGAGTTCTGGGGATCTCAAAGCACAAGGCACAGCCTACAAACCAATCACCGATAGTGGTGGTTGGGGGGTGGAGGGAAACTGAGACCCCCCCTCCAAAAGGGGACGCTCCCACCTTCTTTCAGGGTACCCAGATGATGTGATGGTAGCACTGGGGGCTTGCCAGTTTGGAATCTTGCCAGATTCCAAGGGAATCTCCAGTAGAGCAAAGGCATGCAGGCCCCTGCCAGCCACCCTGGGGGATGTCCTGGCCCCACTCCCTTCTCAGCCAGGGCCTGTAGAAGGCCTGCCCCCTGCAGGGTCAGAAAAAGTGTCCCCTCCCTGTGCAACTAGGGACCTGGGAAGCCGGCCCATCACAGACCCCAGGGAACAAGGCGCCGGTCACATGGCCATGTGACTGCTCTTTCACTTCTTCAAAGTCCAGTGGGGGTACGGCAAGGAGGAGGAAGGACCACCATCCCCGCCCCTACACCTTTATTTTGGGAAGTTCCTGGCTCACTCACACGGGAAAGCAGGAAGCATTTCTAAGTCCCTGACCCCTCTCTTCCCAGGGGAGCAGGATTTAAGGAATTGTCTCTCCTGTAGACAACCCCACCCGCCACAAGGCCCAGCCCCAAGTTCTGGCAGGCTCCGGAGGAAGCAGAGCCTGGAGAGGAAGGGAAAAGCAGGTGTCCAGGGCTGGGCGGGTGCTAGACGGGGTGGGGGAACCTGAGGGCAGGTCCAGGCCGGCCAGCCCAGTCCCAGACCTGAAAGTTGTCCTAGGATGACAAACAGCTGGAACTCCCCCACGCCCCCCTTGGGGAGGGGACTTATGGGAAGGGGGCTGGGTGGCAGGGGGGTGAGTCAGCAAGAGAGAAGGGTGAAGTTCTCAGAGGCGTGAGTTTCAGAAGTGAAGTCCAAAGGCCTTCCTCCATTTCCCAAAGTGGAAAACTGCATGTTTATGCTAAATCTGGTGGAGTAGGTAGTTGTGGAGAAACATGGGGGTCTCACTCACTTGGATCGGCGCCGTGCTGAAATGGATCTTCCGACTCGGGGCCGGGTCTTCTTCCTCCGAGAGCCCGGGGATCTCCACGCACCCTGACTCGGGCTCGTAGGGGGGCTCTCCGTCCTCCTCTTCCTCGTCGTCCTCCTCTAGGGCGCTGCCCCCAGAGTCTTCCCCAAGCCCACTGTAGGCGCTCACATCCACCAAGTCCGCCTCCGAGAAGTCCTCCTTCTTGGACTCATCCACCTCTTCCTGGGCCACGTCCGGGGCCCGACCACTGCCTACCCCCCTCTCTGGGGCCGTTTCCACCGCGGGTGCTGCCGCTTCCTCCTCCTCTGGGGCTGCGGGAGGCTTGGGCTCCTCGGGCGCGGGGCTGGCTG